AAATTTACAAGCAAAAACTAATGAAATGTTAGAAGCTACACAAAAAACGTCTCAATCATCAGAAAAAGGAAATTCTATTAAAGAAGATGCTCTTATAGCTCCTGCACCTGTTTATAAACAGTTAACCATTTTTATTTTCTTATTTTATTTATTTGTTCTTTTCTTTTTTAAAAGACTTTTGCAAGGTTATGCTGAAGAACATGCTATTCAAGATTTATTATATTATCTTGCTGATGGACTTCGAAGAAAATCTATTGGATTAGATACTTATTTAAAAGTTTGTTTTCTTTTTTGTTCTTTAACTAGATTTTTATTAGTTTTTTTTTCTTTTAGCATGTTAGAGAACTTTCTCGAAAACAATTTATTTTACGAGCTACAATGCGCAAATGTCGACAAATTGCTGGTTTACCTCTTAAATAAAGTGTGTTTTCTTTTTGTTAAATAAAAAAGATCAATTGTATTTTTGCATGCGTATTTTCTTGTTGAGAAAGAAAGAAAAAAATGGATTTGTTAGTATAATATATGATCATCATATATAGTTAGATGTAATTAAAAGATAAGAATGTTCTTTGCTTGTTGATATATCAGTTCGAAAAAAGTACGTAAATGATTTGGTCCTAACATAGAGAAATAGACAGGAAGAAAAAAAAAGGTAACATTCACATATTTTAAAATAGTATAGATATGTGAATTGACGCGTACGAAGCATATATTTTACTTTGTTTGTCGACATTGATGTAATTTAAGGTCAATTGATGATACAAATATGACAAACGAAATTTTAGCTTGGATAACTGATAATGAAACTGAATTTTGGACGGTAAATATTCAACAACAAAAAAATTTTCTTTACTGTTTATCATTAGTAATCTTAATTAGAATATAACATCTATAGAGAAAAAAAATGTATCTTATCGTTTTTCAATATCGAAAGACTTTTCATCAGATGTTCTGTATTTTAACCTATTGACTCTTGGCTTTTTTTGCAAAAACGAAAATTTTTCTAAATGTTTAAATATGATTGTTTTTTTACAATTCTGTATCAAGAAAACATCAGTAGATCATTTTTTGTATGATAGTCGTTATAAAGCAATTAACAATACATAGAGGTGTATTGCAGTCCAAGCACATATCGTATATCGCGTCGAACATTATCTCAGGTCGAAGTTAATCTATCGGATTGTGTCCGATAGTCTTAATACTGACAGAATTCTATCGGAATTAACTGGAAATCTAGTCACCAGGATTCTGATAGTCGGGTACGACTGGGTATCAACAAATTCTGACAGGATTCTATCGGTTCTTGTCGACTTCAGACAAAATCAGGATCGAAATCCTGCTCACTGGGTTGTTTGACTTAGGGTGGAATGTGTAAACTACACATTGTCGTTGAGATTGTTTTGGTTGCTCAATCACACGCCTTCTTTTTGAAGCAGCTTTTGTGAAAACGATAAAAAGCATTTCCAAATAATTAAAGAATATGCTAGTGATACTCGCGTTCAATAACTGAATTAAGACGTATTTATACGTCGCCGGGAGTCAAAGGATTAAGGAGATCAATATTGTTGAAAAGTCATGCTCTCTTCTTCTAGAAAAATTTTATTTGGAAATCTAAAATCTACTGTATACATTAAAAAAAAGGCTAAAAATCATTGACTTTCGATATGAAGAAAGAAACTTTTCAGCGAGAATTTTGATATACGAAATATTCGAGAGTGAAGTAGAAAATTTTTGAAAAGATGACGAAGTTTAGTGGGGAATCATTGATAAGAAAGCTACAAAATCACAATTGTGTAGAGACTAAAGGATAATTAGAGTTCTTGAATTGCCAAAACTAAATACATTTTTTTACTAATATCAACAACAACAACAACAATAACAAATAATCCAGTTCATAGACGATGAACATTATCTTCGTTTTTTACTTTTATCGTTAATTGTCAGTTCTTTATTTTAATCGAATTCGTTCTTATTAAACTATATCGCAACTTCATTTCAGATGATTATTCCTCACTTTTTTTTCTAACTATGTCTATTAGACATACAAAAATTTCGAATAATTTACAACTAGATTCAAATTCCTTATCTCCTACAATTAATATGGCAAAACCATCTCAAGCTGAAATAGATCAATTTATTCTATGAGCACGAGTAAGAGAAATATATCGAATATTTAAAAAAAAAACAAAATATTTCAATTTCAAAGCCTACATATCGGGATTGATTTGGTTTGTTGAAATATAAATCAAGGACTTAATTCATCATTAAGTATTTTAATGTTGAAAATTGTTTCATTTTCTTATAATGACGAAATATCAATAGATTTTGTTTACATAGAACTGTAATATGTCCAGATAAAGGAAATCGGTATAATATTTCAATTGAAATATGGTTTCAACAGGATCATCCACATGTTTCATCATTAGCTTATGTTAAACCAATATCAGTTATGTATCTTTCAACAACAAGTCAAGATGTTCAACCTGATGGAACTATTATTATATCTTATCTTAAAAATTGGTGTCATGTAAAATATTTATTTCTTTAATTTATTTCGAATTTTATTTTATTTTAGTCACAGAGTAATTTAGTTAATTTATTAAAAGCAATGTCTGAAAACATTTAATTTATCATTTCCTCTATATTCGACATACAAGTACAGTCAGTCGTCCAATACTCTATCCAACAAATCTAAAATCATATCCAATAAGTTCATCATCAATGCCAATGCCAGTGTCTACAGGAATGACTACTGATGGAAACCCATCATATTCAAATCCATATGGATATTCATAGACACAAATTTCTCAAAATATTTATTGAGATTCTATTCAAACAGCTGTTTTAGATAGAGTTTCAAATCGTCTAAATGAAATGATGCAAATAGGACGAGCACAGATTGATTTGCTAAAAAAAAAGATTTAGTTGATGGTGAAAACACAACTCAAAGACTTATTAATGATGCACAATAACAACAAATTCAAGCACAAGTTTAGATTTATTTTTCTTTTCTAAGAACTACATAACAAATTTACAAGCAAAAACTAATGAAATGTTAG